GGTCTCGAGGTCCGGGTGCTGGAAGAACGCCATGGTGAGCGGGTGCATTGGGATCGTCGCTGGATCGCAACCTTCTTGCAAGTCGGACTCTTTTCGCAGCATCGGGTCGGACCGGCCGTTGGCGATCAACGCCTCCTACGTGGCACGTGTCATGACATACGAGGCGTGCGTGTGGACGTACGCGTTGGAGGTGCGCGAGCTGCTGGAGCACCTTCTCGAGCGGCGAGAGCTCACATTTGCGAAAGGTTTCGCAGCGCTGGAGCATAAAGCCCGTCGTGTCTTGGGTGCGCCGGCGGTCGGACGCGACCGTGTCTGGGAGCCCCTGCGCGACCTCGAGCTCGGCGAGGATGTCGGCGTTGGTCGGTGCCACAACCACCTGCAGCACGCGCGCCGTTGCATCCAGCAGCAGTGTGAGCACGGGGTACAAAAGCAGGCGCAAGACCGGTTGCTCGTTCCTCGCCGGATGCGCGAGTCCATACAAGTCGGCAAAGACGTCGTTGGGCCAGACGCGGTAGAGCCGGGCGTACACTTGCACGAAGGCGACGTAGGCGGAGAAGCCCGTCACCAGCGCCGCAGCATGCCAGCGCGTGAAGCGGTACATCGGGTGCATGAGCGAGACGGCCTTGAGCGTCACGGTCGCGATGAGGATGCCATAAAAGCGCGTGCCGAGGAGGAAGAGGCCGCCCGTGTCCAGCGCGGTGGCTGCAACCGACGGCGCGGTCAGTTGCACGAGGAGCGTCGCGTGGTAGAGAGCGTTCAGTAAGGTGCATAAGATCTGCTTGACGCCAAAGGGCGGGAGGCACTGCAGAATGCGGGGCGCCTGCCACACGATCCACGCCTGGAGGTCCTGGTCCAGAATGCCGAGCACGAGGATCGGTAAGAGGGTGTACGCGACGTTCCAGCCGACCATGAGGTACGAGTCATACAGGGTCTGGCCCGACCAGCCGCAGTAGGACGAGAACCACATGAGACTGCATATGAGCACTGCGTTCTTATAGAACGTAAACGTGATGAGGTTCCGAATGCGGAGGTAGTTCCATCGGCCGTGGAGCAAAATAAGGTGCGCGAGGCACCGGAACTGCCCAACCTCAATGTCCGCGGCCCGCACCGCTTGCATACCTATCTCGCCATCTCAGAACATACATCTCGCGAAACGTGAGGACGACCTTCGTGGCCAGCAATACCGACGCCAATGTGGGCCTCCTGGATCATGGTCACGTCGTTGCCGCCGTCGCCAATTGCAAGTGTCACGGGCGCCTTGGGGCTGGCTTTGACCATCGCCACAATCTCGGCCTTCTGCGACGGCGACAAGCGACAGGCGATGACACTGCCGCACTGGCTCACGAGGTCCATCAAGGCCGTCGGGCCGTCCGTATACGAAGCGAGGGTGACCGTCGCGCACTCGAACTGGACGCTGGGCACGATGCTGCTGCGCTTCGAGACGGGCGGCGCCGCGAGCAGGCACTCAAGCCG